AGCTGAGAGCAGCTGAGAGCATCTGGCACACTTGGCCGGAGATTCAGGTTATGCTAGTAGCGGCTAATGTAGCCTCCAGCTGCAGCAGGCCACAGAGGTCTGGTAAGCTCACTTCTTTCTAACACAACACCCTCAGCTGTTTTTCATTTTCAAACATTAAGTCTTCAGCCCCCACCGACTCAAGTGACATCAGATTTATGAATTTATCAGGCTGTACATTACTATTTTTATATATGCAGTTTTACAACCTGTAAACAGACTTTACAGAGTGTAAAATCGGACTGGTGTATTTTCCCTTTCACCACCACAACCAATCCTGCAGACTGCCTCTACTTACTAATCCTCTTTTCAGTCCTTTTTCCCTCCAAGCTATTGCAGAGTGCTGAACAAAGAAACAACCAATGTAAGTTTAAATTTCACTCTTACAATCGTATTATAGTTGGTTAATAGTGTTACATGGTGTTGTTTGAGTGTGTAAAGGATTGTTTTGTATTACATTTACACTAGATAATTATGTTTAATTTGGCCTAAGGAAGGATTTAAAAGCCAAGATTGTGGGTGATGTAAGTGATATAAGCGAGGGTAATGATGGCTTGTTGATTCAATCTTTTGTTTACTGCTAGTGTTCTGATGTGTAATGTTTCCTCTGTAATATTTCCTATTATTGATATTTTCACATATATATAAAAAAACACACATCTATACATTCAGTTTGTTCTATGAGCCACCCTTACTGAAGTGTTTTTGGTCTCAGTATATGAAAATAAGCACATTATGAATGAGCATTACTTACTCACTATTAATTTTTTTTATTTTAACAGTTATTACCTTTAAATCCACCACACTTTTAAGATGCTGGGTCCTCTGAGATCAATAAAGTATTTAGGTTGACAAGGTCAGTAGCTGACTAATGCATTTGTTACAACTTAATGTTACCCATATGAAATCTCTGGTATAATATTGTTTAATAAAATCTGCAGGCACCATGCAGGGAACATCACTGAGCCCGGCCTTAGATGTGTACATACTTCATTTACTTCCCTGCACTTCCTTTTGAAGTTAGGGATAAGATAATAGAGAGATAACATTTGAATTAGCAAGGTCATTTCCCAGTATAATGTTCTCATTATGGCCAAGATGTCCCCTTTAGTGGAATGTTAATGCACATAATGAAGAATAAAGCATTTGGATGTGCTGCAGCAGGAAAGCAACCCACCAAAGTTACTCATGGGATGATATGGTTTGTTTTATATAATAGTTTAAGGATTATGATAATGTTAGAGCTGTACACTCATCATACATTGAGATAAGGGATCAGAAAGAGATCATTTATTTATATGCAGTTACAGCATAGATTTCACAAAAGACCACACATCCAAGACAGTCAGCATTATAATTACTTTCTCTGTTATTGTTGAGAAGGATCTGTGCTGAACTGTGGCCAAACAGCACCACATGGGAACCTGTCAGACACCAGATAAACCACAAACCAAGCAGAGCCTAACTAAAGCCTCCCACAGCAAAAACTAAAATCTCTGACGGTCCTGCACTGAGAAACAGCTGACGTCAGCTGTCTCACTAGACTGCCTGCTGAGAGATGGCTCCTTTTCCACTGGAAATAGATGAGAAACAAAGTTGGCATAGATGACGAGTGATAACGAGCAAACATGGGGGAGTATGTAGAATGCTGGATTTTAAAATGAGAGAGGAGAAGAAGAAATAGACAGGAAGCACAGAAAGAATAGGGTTATGCTAATTTGAGTGGATGGGGAGATTAAATAGAGTCATATCAGGTCGTGTGCCTTCCAGAGACGGTACCCTAATCCCCTCGCTTGCTCCTTGCAGCTCCACTTTACATACATACAGTACAAACAGACACACTCTCACACAAATGCATGTCCCTGCACTGTAGATGGTGGAATGGTGCAAGGTATATTTTAGGTGGCAGATGTGGAAATGCAGTCAGACACCTGGAGCTGCAAGGGGAAAGAACATGACTGGAGGTATACTTGGACCAATATAAGTTGTCTTTTCTCTGTGTTTTACTTTTTTTTGTTAAAAGTCTTGTGTGGAAGTGACAAGACATCAATGTGTTAAGTACTGCCCTTCAAACAGAGTTATATGTGATGTCAAATGTCCAGGGTGTACAAGCTTTAGTATATATGTGTGTGTGTGTGTAAAAATGACAGAGAGGGAGTGAGTGGATGGAGGGTGGCGTACTGTAAGTAGAGCGAAAAAAGTTCCCCTGAGTGGTTAATAAAAGATGATGCTGCAAAATGGATACCAGCTAGAGCAAAGGATATGACTGTTTTTTTCCTCTTTTATTTGTCTACCATGTGTTTCGTTGTGAAAGATTGATGCTGTCATTGATGTATTTCAGTGGCCAGCAGTTATGAAACTTGCATACATAATATATAAATGGCCATGCGGGCATTGAAATCCAATAAAAAACACTAAAACTTTGTGTGGTATCAGCCTGATTTATAGGAATTGCATAAGATGAACATAAATCCGGTCTGGGACACGCAAACACAGACGTAGCACCTTAAAGCATTAGGAAGTTACTGTGTGTAAAGTGAGATAACAAAATCATAAAGGGTATGGATAATAAAATATGCACTACAATATATGCAGTAAGGTCACACTCTTAATACACAGTTTTAAAGCTGATACTAGCTCTGTCACTGGCTCACACAATTACACAAGAAGCCCTTGAGAAGTCCTTATCAGCTTTTTCATGCATTCATGATAAAATAATATGGTCTTTCATTTGCATAATTACCTGCTTGCACCACAACACAATATTGTTTCAGTGATGGAGAATGGCAGGGGCTTTTTTAGTGCACTGTCAAGCTGCTGAAGGCCAGCCATGATTGTGTCAGACAACTGCCACTAAAAAAACTGGGACATGGTGTACAGACCTCCTCTGCCTCTGAGAGAATATCTCGCTCTACAGAAAAAGAAAGATGAGCTCTCATTTTACTTTATGACATTCACATCATAAATATATAGATAGATAGATAGAATGATAGAGTAGTGATATAGATAGATAGATAGATGCTGAAGGATGAATTAACTGGTTTGTTTGAGAATATTATCTAAATATTAATGAAATCCAGCGCCAAAGGCAGAATTGTAATGGACATTAATTATCATGCCACAATTGTCCTGTTAACGTCACATATCTGCTTGCGTGAGAAGCAGAAATTATTAGTAGTCGGTGCCACTCCTTAGTTCCAAGTTGTTTCTATACTTAGCCCAGAGTGGTGGGATACACTGCACATACTGTACACAGGCTGTTAATGCAACACCCAAAACTGAACTGGCTCGATAACAGACGTTCAATGAGTATCCGGAATTAGAAATAGAAATAGAAATAAACATAATTTGGAGGGTATGAAACCATGCAGTTGTTCATGCAGGGAAGGCTGGTAATTAGTGACACACACACACACACACACACACACACAGAGGCAGGCAGAGAGGAGCTGTCCTTGGTGCTGAATCAGCCACCCATGCTTGGCTGCCGGTGCTCTCTGTAGACTGCTGTGTCTGTCTGGTGGCCTGTGGCTCTCAGCGATTGTGTTACCACCCTTACATTGTTAGCTTGTAATGCTTTACCGTGTACTTTTAACTACTTTTAGATTCATTCCAGCACTGGTATCAAGTAGGAGCCACGATTTCCTTCTATTGTTTGCTTGCTTGCCAAGGATGAATAAACTAAAACAAGAAAATGCATAAACAGGCTTCACATGAGTACTAATTTTTCTTACCACATCCTCTAAAATGATCCAGGTGGGTTCCTGCAGTTGTTGCAGTTACACAGGTCTTTGAAAGCAGTAAAAGTTCAAGAGCTCAAGTTCAAGAGCAAACCCAAATACATTCATTAAAGTAACTATAAGTGTGGAATGAATGTAGAAGAGTTAATAATAATATGTATCTCTGAAATGTAGTGAAGTATAAAGTAGTATAAAATGGAAGCGCTCAAATAAAGTGACTCAATCTCAAAATTGTGTTTCACCACTATACTGCTTGTATACAGATGCCACCAGTGGTGTTAAGCACAAATTTGAGGTACTTTACTAGTATTTCTATTTTATGCTACCATATAGACTACTACTTATCCTCCTTTTTCACTCCACTACAGTTATTTGACAACATTAGTTACTGTAGTAACTTTACAGATTCAGATTATTAACACAAACTATGAACTAACTAATGACTGTAGATGTATTATTATGGATTAAGCTACCAGGCAGTTGAAATTGGCTCTACCTTTACCAGCTGCAACATTAATGCATCAATAATCATAATCCATGATATACATTATCTGAAATGGGCTTTTTCTGTATTATGAGTACTTTTACTTTTACAGTACATTTAAATGGCAATACTTACTAACTTGAAACAGAGTATTTTACACAGTGGTATTGCAACATATTGAGCACTTCTTCGAAATGAAGCAACATGTTCAACCTTCCATATTTATTTTTAGCATCCTTTGCACTCTGCACTATTGTCTACTGTCTACAAATGTTTGTTTGTATAACTGCACATATAAGTCTATATCTTTTTTGGTTAACTTGTTCTGTTTATTTATGTGTTATTCTGTCTTTGTACATTGAGAGCAACATAAAATCAGAGTTAAACTCACACATATCTGGCCAATAAACGTGATTCTGATTAAAGTGACAGTGACTGGTACACTAAAGACACTTTATGACTATTTTTCACCCATAACTATATTTATGGCGTTTACTAAGCTGTGTCACCAAAGTTAAATACTGTAGAATTCAAGCAGGAATCTGGCACCGCCCACTTCTCCGCGCGTCATCGCCTCCCAGCCAATCCCGACGCGCTCCACCTGTCCCCCCCTCCCCCAACCTACCTATGGCGTATATTTTGAGAAGCCTGGACCAATCAGATCGCGCGAACGGCCAAATCAAAGTTGTTGTAAGAGCACGTGTATGTGTGTGCGCGCAGGGGGTGGAAAACTGGCCAGTGGATGAGAGAGAGGAGGCAGCGGAGAGAAGTGGACCTGCACCGGCTGCTGGATATATCTCTTCCACCGGATAAGTCATCATCAGTTATCGGGTCTTTCTGCTCCAGTTTAAGGTCTTAAAACAAAGAAGGCGGCGGAAACACCGTGTTATCAGCTACTTAAACGCTAGATTCCCTGATGGATGCTGCCGGTGAAAGATGACTTGACAGTTAAAACTCGCTCTACCTCTTCGCATGAGACACCGTAGCGATGGTTCAACCCCTGTGCGCATAGCTCTCTCCCCTCGTTGCTCTGCCACCGTGGACTTACCGATTGGGTTCAGTATTTGCCGTTGAAGGAGCCCTTGTTGTCTCTGAGACCGAGATGACGGAAATCAGCGAAAAGGAGAACGAACCACAAAACCGGGACCTGCACCGACCGCATGCTACAGTTCCCAGCCATCCCGAATCAAAGGTAACAGCACACCTGTGTACACGCAGGCATCTATTGTGTTTGTGCATTTTACAAACTACAAACAGAGGGAAACGAGCAGATTATTTAGTTGTTTAAGCGTCTTCGTAAAAGTTGGAGTGCGCTCTTTACGCACGTAGAACATTTTGAAGGGTTTAAAACCAAATATAATCTTTATTTGTGCCTTTTTAAATTCAAAGTGTGGCTTTGTTGTTGTCTGTATTTGCGAGGCTAATTCTGTAGAGGCTGCAGGTCTTGCATAAGAACTTTAAGCCGCTTTAATTCTTGTAACTACTCTGACCTCAAAGTTAGAGGGCAGAGATTACAAGAAGGTGCGTGCTTTTCTGTGGCATGTGCAGTGAAATGAAGGGAAAGATTTGTGAACTGCAGCGAGGAGATGAAAACCAGGTTGAGACTCTTACTGACTTCCCCTGATGCAGGTAGAGGCAGGCGAGTTCAGAGAGATGCTTCGGTGTTTGTGTTTGGTTTTAGTTCAGTTTTAAAGGAAGATTTCCGAATACTTTGCACATGCAGTAAATGTGGGAGGTGCAGCACCCAAGCAGAGGAGTTATGAGCATCTACCTTTGCATCATTCCTCTTGCAAATACCAGTGGGACCATCACAAGGCTCACATTCCCCCCCCCCCCCCCACCCCCCTTTTCTGTGCAATATACAATATATTCTTTGCTGGACTATTACCTGGCACCAGATTGGCTGCAGAGGTAATTTGAGTAGACATAATGTTACTGTATAATGTTGCATTTTGGGTTTATCCTGCCATCATTATCTCAGATCATATCAATCTTTAATCTGTGGACAGATACTAGAAACAAATGTTTTCTGCTCCAGGAATTTTGTTTTTTTTTTGCCACTTTTTTATTGACTAAAAATAAAGGCAAAATACAGGTTAAATCACATTAAATAAGCACAAAACAAGGTTAAAACTAGATTTTGGCCCTCTTCACAGAGGCGCCTCAAGATAAGGAAGTAAAGTATGACCCAGCTCAAGGCATTTATCATGTCAGTAGATGTTTTGCTTTGGTTGTGCGTAACACATTTTCAGTTGAATAAATTCAAGCAAGTAAACGCAGTATACCTGAAGCTCTCAGGGGCCCCTGGAGGTTTTTGGCCCCTGAGCAGTTGCCTGCTTTTCAATCTTGTCTTTTTTGTTGCTGATTGATTCTCCCTTTACTGACTTGACCTCAATCTCCTGCATCACGTTTTAACACGTTACAAAATTAGCTTCAAGGACCAAGAACGGTCTTAATTGCAGCAGCAATCACAACCACTAAAGAAAAAACTCATTAAGGCTGACTGTTGTTGGTCATCGCCACAGGGAACAAGCCCCTGGCAGGATGGGTCTCTTGTTGTCTCTATTTGACTACAGACAACACAATGGATGGTGGGCGTCGAGGTGCTGGTGAATTTATGAGCTAATCAGGTAGCACATGTTTGCTGTGTCTCGCTAGGGGCTGGGTCATAATTCACACAAATGGCCGTCCAGACAAAACAGAACTGGGAGGAAACAATCCTCCGAGCTGCGTCAGCCGCGGAGCTCTGTTTGCCAAGCCCCTGCTGGCACCCGGGGACCAGAAGAATGAAGAGGATGGAAGAGGGGAAAGATTAAATGTGTGTTACAATCGGGGTCTCTTTTAGAGAAGTCTGCTCGAGGGTATCTCTAGAGCTTCACTTGTCTCTTTCTGTCACTCTCAATCTTCTCACTTCTCCTCTTGCGCCATTCGTTTCATAACAATTTCCACCTTTTGCTTTCCATCTTCTGCTTCCATGTCTTTCCCTATTCTCAGTTCCTCTTACTGCCTCTGTGTCTGCAATCGTTTCTCATCCCCTCATCAGCTCTTTCTCCTTCATCTCTCGCTCTCCATTCCCTCTCTGTCTCCACTGTCCCTCGGCTCTCCGAGTATTTATTACAGTGCTAAGTGGGCCTACCAGCTTTCTAGAGTGCTTCTAATAGAGGCTGTGACAGACAATGAATAGTTATTCCACCTCCTCCACCTACGGGCAAGGTGATGGCTCCTAAAATATTATTTTCTAATCACTTGGAGCACACGCCATTCAAGTGTCTTGCGCTTAGTGAGGTACAGTCACGGGTAAGTGGATGACATGGAAAGTTATGCGTTTGGAAAGACAAAGCAATGGTCAAAGGAATTGTTAAAGAATTTGGGAGTGTAAGTGTATTATTATACGCTTTCTTGCTGAGTTAAATGAAAAGATCAATGGCATTCATGTTTAGACGTTTAATATTAGATATTATATTAGAATAAGTACTGGAAATAAGGGGGAAACAACTAGTGTGGCTCTGTCCAAAGGAAACAAAATACACCCACGGCGACCTCCAAAGCTCAGTAATTATCACATTGTATCACATTCACTTAATCCATACAAAAACCTGAGTGTTAAAACAACATTTTCTTTGGGGGTTATGTGCCAGACTATTTTCTTGGCAGGGAGCAGTTGCCAGGCAACCAGCAGTGACTCCAGGAAGGTTACGGGACTTGGCCAAGAAATAGTCCGGCACATAACCCCCAAGAAATGGCTGTCATTGGCTAGCTGTTTTCCCATGCTTCCGGTCTTTAGGCTACACGCTAACCAGCTGTAGCTTCATATGTGACTTACTAACATGAGAGTGGCGTTGTGCATATTTCCCAAAATGTTGAACTATTCCTTTTAAACTCTAAATTGTTTATTAGTGGAGGAAATGAGGCTCAGAATCGGCTGCTTTATAAAGTTTAATATTCACAAAAGCCAGTGGGTGTAAATGCTGATAATGCAAGGTGGTGCTGCGCCCGTGTCCGCAGGGCCTTCACACGCCTCATCGCTTTCTCAGCCAACACAAAGACGTTTTTATGAGGTAAAATAATGATGGCGGTTTCTCGCCGACTTTGCCCTTCACACTTACTTTCTCAGAGATCTTCCCCTTCTGCTGTTCTTCCCAGCGATTTCCTTATCAGCCATTTTTTCCCTCCTCTCTTTATTAAATACATTTCTTGGTCTCCTCTTAGTATGTATTTCCTTTCTATTTTCTATTGACTGTGGACCCTTGAAAAGAAACCCAAACGTCTTTTTTTCCACCTGCACTACACCTCTCTTCATCTTTCTCGAGTTATGTCTCTCCTCTTCCATTCCTCTCTCCTTTCCTACATTGACTTATTTCTCCATAACTCTGAGTGGCTGGCTGGTGATGGTTGCCTGAGTGCTTGAGAGGATACGGATGATTAAAGAATAGGATAGCCAGCCAGAGATCCTGCCAGGAATGAGAGAAACAGTGAGAAATAGGAGATGAGTGAAGTACAAGTATCAGGAGAGAAGCAGGAAGAGGAGACAAGAAACAGCAAAAGGCGAGTGACAGTGAGCAGATGTGTCTCTTCATTAGTATTTGCATTATAAGAATATGTGGTGGCCAATTCAATCAGAAAAACTAAACTACTATATATTCTTTGTTGATTAAGCCTTCTCCATTTCACACCTTTCTTATTTTTTGTTTTTAATTCTAAAAAAAATTACTTTTCAGAAATGTGCAAATATGAAAACAGTCAAATTCCAACAAATGCGTAGCTGTAAATTGAAAAATTAGTCATTAGTTATTGACAGTGGTGAAATTTCATTTCCTCTTCTGAATTCCTCCGTCAGTAAGTATTTAAATCTTTTTTTAATGAGCAAATACACCTTTTCTACTGTGTATCAGCCTCAGTCTCTGTGCCATTCACATGTGTAGATGACATTTCTGAACAAAGCATATTCTGCCTTGTTGTGTTTGTTTCTTTGGTATCGCAGTTAGCAGGGGGATACATCACTCCCCCGCCTAACTTCTGACAGATGATGATATGTTTGTGTTTCTCCTGCCAGAATGATTGACTCGTACTGCTGACCTTTGGTTACAAACTATAGGTCTGCCCAGAGAACACAGATACACAGTGAGAGAAACGGGAAGAGACGGATATTCAGACAGAAAACACACACTTAGAATAGGACATCAGCACCGTCTTATCCAATGCATGCAAACCAACATGTTCGTACTTGACAGTGTCACTGTGGTGCTCGTGTATCCAATGTTGACCCAGCACTGTTGTGATTAATGATGAAGTCATTGAATTACTGTCCTTGATTGAGTTCTAAAATGCTGCTGATCCAGCAGAGTCCCATGTGCGGTGTCAGGGTTAGAGAGGAGTCACTTGGGAATAAATACTGACTTTATTTAGTCCTTTTGTTTAGTACTGACCTTAGGCTGCTGCTTCAGTGAGTTAACTTCTGAGGTTATTCTGTCTCTAAAATGCAAAGCTGTTGATGTAATGGGAAAAAAATTAAGTTTTATAATGGATAGTTCTGATCTTCAGCTTTGAATGGCAGACTCACCTTGAAAAACCTGATAAAATCAAGTCCACTTTTGACTGTAAGACTGATGGGATACTCATTCATAAAGAGCTCGGGTTGCTTAGCAACTATGATGTAACTTTATTATAAATTCTTAAATAGCATAGTGCTAGAAAGTTACTGGCACTGAAATCACATTTAATTATTAAAGTTAAAATAAAATAAAAACGGAGACTTTTTAAAACTTGCAGTTTATCAGTTGAATAATTCATCTGCTGCATAGAAGGATTTCCGCTTTTACATTCATCACACAGTTATCTGAAAGATTGCTGAAAGTACCTAAAAGTCCATAAAGAAGGTTATGCTGTGAATAAATATAATGATCTTGTCCTGGCCCTGCACATCTCATTGTCTCTCTCACAAAGACTTATGAAGGCAGTCAGTTCAGTGTGGGACTATGTAGCAAAAACCTACAGGGAAACAAATTGACTTACAGTTAGAGCCTGACTGATATTGTTTTTTTGAGACCAATTATATGGGGGTAATAATTTAGTGATTACCGATATGGTGGTCTATATAGTGTATTTTAGAGCTAGAATGAAAGTAGACCTTTTCTATGTGGATTTTGCACTGATATAGAAAAGTACTAGAAGGTTGCTTTCTTAAACAAATTT